GGATGGCAGCCAGTGACAAGCGGGGTCCCCCAGGGCTCTGTCCTGGGGCTGATCCTGTTTAATCTTTTCATCAATGACATGGAAGAAGGGGTGAATAGTATGCTGATCAACTTCGCAGACGACACTAAAACTGGAGCAGTGGCCACAACTGAGGAGCAGGTAGTCCAGATCCAAAAGGATCTGGAGAGACTATGGAAATGGGCAGGAGACAGCAGGATGCAAGGAATAGGTGTCATAAGTACAGGTTAGCTGACAAGTGGCTGGAGAGCAGCACTTGTGAAAGGGACCTCAGGGTACTGGTTGACTACAGGCTAAACATAAGTCAGCAGTGTGATGTGGTGGTCAAGAGGGCAAACGCCACCCTTGGTTGCATAGCCAGAAGTGTGGCTTCTAGATCAAGAGAGGTATTACTACCATTCTATACGACTCTGGTGTGCCCGCAACTGGAGTATTGTGCTCAGTTTTGGGCCCCTCATTACAGAAAGGATATAGCCAGGTTAGAGTCAGTGCAGCGTAGGGCCACAAGGTTGGTGGGTATGAGGCAAGGCTGAGAGAACTGGGTCTCTTCAGCCTGGAGAAGAGGAGACTCAGAGGGGATATGTTGGCGACATACAGGTATGTGAGGGGATGTCACACGGAGATGGGTAGAGATCTGTTCTCCCCTGCAGGGGAAGGCAGGCGCGCTCCAACGGAGCAAAGTTCAGGGAACCAAGGTTCCATTTGGATGCCAGGAAGCACTTCCTGACAGTTAGGACCCCAAGGGTGTGGAATGGGCTTTCACAGGAGGTCGTTGAGGCCCTGTTGGTGTGGGTGTTCAAGGATAGGCTGGACATGCACAAGGTGGGCATGTCGTGAGCAAAGCCGGCTGGTGCCGGAGGTCAGACTAGATGGCCCGGGAGGCCCCTTCTAACTCGCTCTGTTTTTATGTTCTATGTTTCTAATGCACTGATGTACATATCACCAACGAAAGCCTATTAATGAGAATTGCTGCTAATATTTTAGCATTCACATTGATTAAAGAGATTGTCCTTTAATTTATGTATGTGGTAAGATCTTCACCAGATTTAGGAATAATGGAAATATCAGCGGTACATAATGATGTTTTAGTGTTTCTGATTCAAAGGCCTTCCGATAAAGGGAAAAAAATAGGACTAAAAAAAATCCTACACTTTAAACGGTGCCTTAAATCATTCTATAAGAAAATAATCTGGCCCCAGAGCTTTCCCATTCTTCATATTCCCAGTAAAACATGTAAGAAACAATCTTATGCCCTTTAAACATTGTCTGGGAAGCCATGGGATAGTTTGGGTGGCATTCCAACCATGGAGCTGGGAATTGGAGCTCCAGCCCCCCTCCTTGCAGCCAGGGATAGCTGCTCTCTGAGGGCGGGATGGTAGAAGGGGACATTTTGTGAGTAGGAAGGGAGGAGACTGGAGCCACTCCAGCGTTCTTTCCTCCTCTTCCAAGATGCCAACTCTAGTCAGCTGAAAATTGCTGATGACTGAAAATGCAAAGGGGGAAGAATGGGAGTGAGAAGATTTGGAGGGGCATGCTCATCTCAGCAGGTTTGCACCCTGAACTTGCTTGGCCTGCCAAGGTTCTGCCTGTAAGTTACTTTTGCTGTCAGTCCAGTTGTGTGAGAACCAAAGTTGAAAAGAAAATTTTCAAATTCCTGATTCATCCACTCCCTATTCATCCTATATAGATCAAAAACAAAGGTCTAGAGATTTGCAAAACATGAGCTGGCCAAATCCTCTGCTGGCCTAGCAATTGCATGAATGCCAAGAAATTAATCCTCAGCAGTGCCAGGAGCTTGAAAAGATTTGAGACTGGATCTGCGGAAGAGACATAAGGCAGCTGAAAAGTGAATAAAAGACTAGATTCTTCTGCCTAGCTCAGTATCAAGATTTGGAGAAGCCACATTGTTGGTCCGCCACTTCCTTCGTATCATGTGGGAAGATCACTGTAGGTCGATTTTGTTTTTCCCATCTGACTTCTCTTTTGTGTCATGCTGTTCTCAAAATTAATCAACAGTAAATCTTGAAACTCATAATGGATGGTGATTTTTCATAAGAACAAAACAGGGGTTAAAATGTGATGTGCATTCTCAATTTCTAGTTGATAATCGTGTGGCAAATCCAATAACTTGAATAAAGAATGATAGTTGATCTTGTTCAGCCTTCTCTGGAATCCCAATAATCTATAGCTTACCATAGTCTGAATGGCTCTCAAGTGTATTTACTTTAACCTGCTAGTCAATGTTAGTTTTCTGTAAGGCAACCAACAAGGTACCACGGTTGTCTTCCATCTGTGATATGCCATTGATTGCAATTTGCAGCAGCTCAGCAGAGTTATTGAGGTTTTTGAGATCCATACCCATCGCTTTAAGGAGCAACATAGCTTCCCCACTGGGTTCTTCAGAAAGCCCCATGGCTCCTGTATTTGGAGGGAATGAAGCTGGCAGTTTGTGCTTTTTTGGACCCCTCTTAGCATGTTTAACCAGTTTCAATGGAATTTTAGAGTCAACAGTGCAAAGTTAATGAGAGGAGTGGAAAGGAGGGAAAATTAGTTACTGTTTTTCAACTATGACAGAGATCAAAGTGGTTATCAGGCTATAATAAGGCAGACTCACTGAACTATGGGAAAATGCATCTGACTACCTTGTCATCTCAGCTGGAAGGCTCAGACAGGATCGGTGCAAAGCGTGTAAGGGGAGAGGAGTGAGGTCAGGAATCAAAAGTGTCCCCAACTGCTTTTTGACTGGAACATTGTGTATTAGCAAAAATGAACGGCTTGCCAGTTTTTAATATCCTGCTGATTTGTTCTTCTTTCCCACGAGGGCAGACTGGCACAATCTGCTACTGTGCAAAAAAAACATCCGTGCCTTCCTTTATTCTATACAAGTGGCTCAGAAGGCATGGACCAAAACAAGCATAAGATTAAGAACATACCATCTCTGTTTATTATTCGATATCAGTTTTCTTTTCTTGGTGCAGTGCAGATTAAAGACCCTAAACCAGACTACATTATATGATGGTGCACTTATATCATAAGATCTCAGTTGCTTTTAAACATCTTTTTCACAGGATCTGGATTGTCTCAGCATCATATAGAGTGTTCTTCCCCTCACCCTCATGTAAATGCATTCTTCTGTGATTGCTAATTTATTTGATCTTTACTCATTCTTGCTACTGTTAATTAGGATCACTTCCCTGCCTTTGAAATATGCTTAACGAGTCCAGGAAAATTCCATCTTCTTGCCATGATTTAATAGCAGCTAAAACTAACCTTGATTATGTGTGCAACTCCAGTCAATGCAAAGCGAGCTGTAATTTAGGAATTGCCACACTGACTGGGTTCACACAAGGCAATAACTCATTGTGGGTGACAAACCATGGTGGGCTGTCTTGCTGTGGAAACCTGGAATATATCTCACTGGGTACCTTGCTTGTAGGCAGCATCCCAACTTAACCTTCCCATAAAAGCCCGTGAATAAGGCAGGGCAGAGTATTCCTGATCAGTAGGTGAATGGATCAGAGCACAGGACTAGCTGCACATGAGCTGCACCTACCTTAGCAAGGAACCCTACGATTCAGATTTTGCTGCCAGGGCAGTGAGTGAGGTAGTGAATGCAATCTTTCTGTGGGGGTCAAGGACATAAAAAGATGGGATGCTGCTATACCAACCCAGATCACTGGTTATCTGTCTCTAGCAGTGGCCTTCCTCAGCCTCAATTCTTTATTTACTTATTTAATTTATATCCTGCTTGTTCTTTCAGACTCAGAGTGGTTCACATCATCTCCTCCTGCTTTTAAACTTATCCCCACAACAACAGCCCTGTGAGATCGGCTGGGCTGAGAGTGTGTGGCTGGCTTAAAGTCACCCAGTTGGCTCTTTGGCCGAGCGGGGACTCGCACTTCATTTATTTATATCCTGCTTATTTCCAGTGACTGGGACTCAAGGATTGGGACACTAATATTCATACAGTTGAAACACTTAAAAATATGCAAAATTTTAAAATATAATCAAACCAATTAAGTGTTTAAATTGCCCAGCCACTCAGATTAAAATATATTTCACAATCTGAAATATATTTCACAAAAATATAACCAGTAAAACAAATCCAGGGCAAACTCACAGACCATTCCAAAGTGCCTGCTGGAACAAAATGGGTTTCACCTGCTCTTGGCAAGGGAAGGTGCCAGTCTAGCCTCCCTAGGAAGGAAGGTTTCAGACTGGAAAATTCTCCAGCCCTGCATGCAAAGTGTGTGCTTTGCCACTGAGCTACGTCCCTTACTGCTAAGATTCTCAGCAAAATTTAAAGAATTGCTCAGGAACACGTTCATAACTAAAATACCAAGGGGTATGTGTATGTATCTGTAAAATCTAGGATTTTTAATTGACTACTTAATCTCATACTAACAAGCAAAAAATTAGTCACACACTTTTTGCTGGGATTTGTCATGAATATCTAGTACTGTGAGTGACAATGGAACCAATGCATCAACAAGGCCAGAAATAAGCATATGGTGTCTGAAAACCCAGGGGAAGGGACAGCTTCCCTTCCTCTGTAATAGGCAATTTTGCAGGTGGAGAGTATTCTGCATGCAGTGAATTAATCTGCAGTGGCTTATTTTACCATATCAGAGGCTATTTATTTATTTAGTAGATGTATAAACTACCTTTTTCTTTTTAAAAGAACTTAAAGCACCTTACATAATTTTCTTCCTCTTAATCTTATCCCCACAACAACAACCCTGAGAGGTAGAATAGACTGAGGATAGGTGGCTGGCCCAAGGTCACCCAGTTGGCTCCAAGGCTGAGTGGGAACTAGAACCCAGGTTGTTTGAGTCCCAGACCTCTGCTCTTAATTCACCACACTGATTAATATGAATTAATGAACAGGGATTTCCTGTCCTCAGTTTCTGGATATAAAGTGATGAATGTATTGCCATCCAAGTTCCAGATGTAACCCTAGTGGCTATTTTCCCCATGTACAGGCTAAAGGAGCATATGAAACCCTACAAGCTTGACAGTGAGAAGATTTCATTGCCTCATAATATGAAAGTGATTGGTCACATAGAACATCTGCCTCTCACAATGGGCACAATCCATGTGGACTGTTCTGCAGTTGTGGCAGGTGAGTGTTTGTGGAAGCTGAGCAGGTGTTGAACCTCCAACTTGCAGGGCAAATAGGGCATTTCTGGGGTCCCGGTCTAGCCCTTTAGCATCCCCCTGGTGACCAAGCCCTTTCTCCCTGGTCCCATTCCTTTTTCCTGACCACGGAATACTTGGTTGTTTCCCAGCTTTTACATATTTTCCCCATTCTGAAATGTTGAAATAACTCTCCTCAGACTTAAGTTGATGGTATGTCTACTGAGCTAATCTGCACAGCAGTTGAGAGGGGAGGACACAGTCTGCTCTAGCTGCCTCAAATTGCCTGGAGTTGAGAGGGACATTTGTGGGCTTGGTGTGCCTCAGAGCAATCTGAGGCATTGTATGTTGGAGGATACGAAATGATATGAAATGCGTCTGAATCTATTTCTTTTTGTTTTCTTTTCCAGAAGACAATGAGAGAAACTTCTCCCTGGGGCTACAGACACTGAAATCTTTGAAGGTAAGCCTCTCTTTATCCCTACTGCTTTCACTTTTAGACTTTTAGTTTGTATATTGGGGTTTTTTTTTTAAACTCAGGAACTGTAGGAACAATTGGAGTACATTCATTGTTTCAGCCTTTAACAGTCCAAACTGGGTTGTTTCATGACTTGTTGAACCAAGAAAGTCAACGTTATTTATGAAAAAAAATTAGAGCTAATCCTTCAACAAACCATGGGGAGTTATTGGGTTAACTGGGTTCCAGGTTTGCACATCATGAAACAACCCAGAAACGGGGCATTCTTGAGTTAATTGAAAGGTGAAAGACAAACATGGGAGAGGCAGCACACTCATCCCTTTGCTTATCTCCAGCAATTCCTGGGTTATACAACCCAGGAATTATTTTGTGACATGCAACCAGGTCCTAGTCTCCTGCTTATTACTGAGGTTTTAGACTGTTCTCTAGATTATTTTCACCTGTTCACACTTGTTCCTCTTTTAGTGTGTGATAAACATGGAGAAACATCATCTGGTCCTGGGGAAGACAGACAGGGAAGAAATCCCTTTTGTCAGTAATGCCTTTCCACATGAAGAGAAGTGAGTTTTTTTAACTTCGAAGCGGTGCTAATGATTAGGGCAATGAGCATGCAGCCAGAGCATTGGCATGATGGATATATGAGGCAAGAGGAGTCTGGCAGGGGTTGGTGTTGGCCATGGCATACAATGGAGGAATCCCATGTGCATCACTGAAAAGCAAAGGAAGGAGCTGAGTGTGTGGTGTGACAGTCACATGATTGTAACTCTCCCTGTATATCAGTAGGTAATGTGTGAATGTATTATTTAAGGGATTTGTTACCAAACTCTTAAGCAAGTACCCAAGGCAAGTTGCATGACCACGCACATTCGTGCATTCTGTATTTCATGGCATCTGAAGCTGCTCTGAACGCTGTTCTAATATGCTTCATAGCTGACTCTCTCACTGCACCAATGTGATTGTGTGAATGGATCCTCCATGTATGCACTCCCAGGCCCTGGATATAAACCTTGTCAGAGCAGAAACAATATCTAACCTGATTCAAAGCATTAGTTCTGACACAAAGTCTATCATAAAGTCAGTGGATGTATTTTCTAGATCTTTTGCTAGGTTTTCAGTTTTCCTCTTTGGGTCATCTGTTTTGGGTACTTGGCCTGTTTCCAAGGAGGAGGAAAAAGAGGGATTGAGATGGTGGCACACCATTTTGTATATTTAATGTTGATGGGGCAAAATTACTGCTTGACCCTATGCATGTTCTGCATTACAACTGTGCCTCCGACAGCTGATCTGGGTTGTCAGGGGAGCAAATTGAGCAAATGGTTATTTCATGTGTTGTTGTGTTTGAACTTCTAAGGATGGGGAGAGGTGCTTGCAATATTTTCTGCCTTAGGTGTCAACATACTATGGCTGGCTTGGCTACTGTGTACCTTGACTTTGGGGAATCAAGGAGCTGTTCCTCAGGCATCAAAATTCCTTGGACCAGCCCTGTATGGCCTTAAGCTTGTAGGGTCTTCTTACAAAAGTTTATGCTACAACAGGTAGCAATACAAAACATAATCATACATATTGCCTCAAGTGTCTTTTGTAACCCTCTCCCCACCCTGTTAATATGGTGATTGGTCCTTAGAGAGATAGGATCCACGGAATCCTAATTTTTAGGTAAGGAATCTATTTGACAAAGAGCTGAAAAGACTATGAGGTGCCTTACTTGCTAAACAGTTATTTCCTAGGGCACATCCTCATGGCAGCCACCTGCGCTCCTGGTTCAGTACTGTAGCACACAGCTGGAAGCCTGGGAAGTGTCCCTGGAAAAGGCAGGTACCTTTTTCCTCCGGGATACCCTGTGCTGGCCCTGCGGATGGCACAGCCCAGGCTGGTGCTGCAGTCATCCCTGTCGGCAGGGCGGACAGGCTGGGAGGCAGCATGGGTTGCAGCCCTGGTGCTTGTGGACTGTGCAGGGGTTGGAGACCCTGCAAAAGCGCATCCGGTCATGTGGACGAACCTTTGCCATAACATTAAGAGAGCAAAGCTAGTTAAAAAAGCACACCCAACCCCAATTCTCTGTTGAGAGACTGTTTTATCTGTCTTGTTTCAGCTCTTCCGAGGCATGAAGGGAGCTCCTGCAGGCTTTGAAGAAGTGGCTTGGCTGAAACGAGAGTCAGCGATACCCCATCCTGCTAGACTATGGCTAGATGAAAGCTAAATGAAAGAACCAGCCATCTGCCAGGAGCTTAGGACAGCTTCAGCTTCTGACATTCACTTACCCTGCCAAGCATCTGGACAGCAAATTTGTAAGTGTATGTCTGAGTCCCCTCTACAAAACGATGTCCTCTTTATGGCCATCCAAGTATGAAAATGTGCATTTGGAAAATCATCTCTCCTGCTATCAGTGGTTTAATGAAATGAATCACCACTTGTGACACTGGGGTGGAGGGAGGACAATTTTGTAGCTTCCTTTTTGGAGCCAAATGCATTGAGCTGGGAATCCGGGTTTCAGAGCCTGTTTTTGGTGGATGACATCACTAGGTCACAAAAAGGGGGAATTTGTGAGGCAATCAGTCTCTCCAAACACTCAAATATGTTTAGAGGGTCACAAATGGTACAACAAAGCCACAGATGCTGGTTATTGTAAGGCTTTGATCCTGGAGTATGTATGTTGGTTTTCACTGATTCTTCCTGCCCCCTGAAAAGCTGTTCTGGAGGATTGGAGGACAGCATGTGAGGTGACCTGGAGACTTAGGGGAGAAGTGGGGAGTTAGCAACAGTTGCCTCCCTCTTTCCTGCAACTGAAGTCTCCTCCCAATAACAATCCCTTCCATGGATTGGAAACTTTCCATTCACAAAAGAGGCAACTCTATGTATTTCTCAAATATGCATATCTCCCAAAGTTCAGATTATGTTTCCTCATTATGAAATTTTGATCTTAACAGTGAGAATTTGAATCACCGTTTTCAACTGTAAAATACCCAGTTTTTCATAATTACATAATTAATTATGTTTCCAGATTTTTTTAAAAAATCTGCATATTATTTGGAACCACAGTACAGCAAACATGAGAACTTTAATTTCTGCTTGCTCTAGTGCTAATTTTGTAGAGTCTGCAAACCATTTTATACTACCTATATTTGTTAAATTTAGGAAACCCAAGGCTCTGTCTTTTTCCTCTGAATTGCAGTATTGTTTTAAATAGTACTTCTGTGTTTGTTTCGTAGCTTTTTGCTAGGGGTTTAAACTAACTCTATTAATAAGGACAGATTAACATCTGAATAAATATTCTGGCACAATCATAAATTGTTATTGCTGCTTTTATTCTACTTAAGCTGGCAGTTGAAAGAATGTACATTGAAAGAAATCTGAAATTCTACATTTAAATATGTATATACCACATCAATGCCAAGATAGTGTCTGCCAGAGTTATTGCTGAGGATACGCATTTTTCTATGTATATTCGTATTTAGATCCAGAATTTTGGATAGATTAGCATTTATCTTCTAAGCAACCAGCTCACCCAAGAATGTAAAAATGTAGAGTCCTGGGATTGATCCTTTAATATAGCCATTATTTTGCAGGTCCTGATAGGGTAAAACCTGTTTGAGCAGAGCAGATAGCAAGCAAAGAAAATGAATGTATATAATAGGCATAGTGAGAAACAATGTTTGATATTTCATTTGGGTTCACTCTCACTAATGGCACAAGTACAGAAAAAGAACAGACATCACACTGCATTTACCAAATCATCTCCCTTGCCTTCTTGGGAGTGAAAACTCATCACTAGGCTGGAATCGTGTTTCCAGCTATTTTCTGCTGTTCTAGACAACAACCTGTTTGGCACATAATGGCAGCTAACCACTGGCTATACGTACACAAAGTGGCGGCGGCCTGCACCTGGCACATGGTGTGCAAAATATGCGGTAATTACATGTGAACAGGCACATTGTGGGTTGAGTCACAGGAAAAAAGGAGCCATTTCTGTCCTGTCCCCTTGGCCAACTAAAGACTTATGGGTTCAGATCTCGTTCTGCTGTTTGCTGTATTGCCCTCTGACCGTCCTCTCTGGTTTTGTCCTTTAGGCTGATTATACTTGGGTAATTTCCCAGTTCTGCAGCTCCTCCTGAACAGTGCTTTTCTATAATATTCTTGAGCTTTTTTGCTACCAGAAGCAGGCCTTCTTACATTGGTCTGCGTAGTGTCAGTGAAGGTGGTGGCCCCAGAATACATGCTGTGACTCTGCAGTGGATTCACACAACACACAGCATCACATGTGGATGGCTGTTCTACTTGCCATGCCCCCAGCTTGCAGTTCAGCTTGCACTGACAATTCCACAAATGAGTTGGGCCGCAAGTTGGAATGTGATGGTGCAGTCGCAAAACTGTAAAAGTAAATGCTTAATATGCTTATATTTGCTTTAACCCATCTTCACCTGCTAGCAAGATGGTCATATGAATCAGTCTTGCCAACACATCCATCCATGCTTACAATGACAACAGACAATGTATACTGGACAACTGTCTCAGACCAACATATGCTCTCCTCTGTTCTGAGAACAGAAAGAAGAGACTCCCATTCAAGATCTTTTCCTTCAGCTTCTGTCTATAGCACAACTTAAGCCATCATACCAAGCTGCAGTGGCTTAAACTCCATTGCTATATAGGTAGAATCCCATATGTGCTTCTAAGGACAATATTTAATTAAGTGCTTTGCTGGAAAGGAGCTTCAGTAGACTTGGATGTGCGTGTGCTTGTGTGTGTGTGTGTGTGTGTGTGTGTGTCCTGAATATCAAATCACTAGGATGCAATACACGTTTTAGACAGAACACGTCCCTTATAAACCTATCTAGTAGCATTTGTACTGAATATGCACTTCCACCTTGAAGAATCATTAAAGTCAGTGGAAAGATTTGGCACTGATGTCTTTGGAGTAGCATCAGTTTGTGTTGTTCAGTCTGATCGGTTCCTTCTGATAGTGACTACAAAGAACACGCTCTGGCTGCAGCACATCAAGTACTCACAGACTAGTATATCTATATTTTGCAGTTTGGCTTTTTGCAATTGGTTTGATAACATCCATTCTTAGCATTGGCTATTATATTGCTCACAGATTTATAGTAAAAGTGTTTGGAGAGAGTTTCTCTTTCTGTGTATCATCAACCTCCTTATTAACATGTATAGTATTTATATCATCTATATTTAAAAAAGCAAAACTTCTGTATGTACACAACATGAACTGCACTGTGTGTATACCTGCCAACATGTAGTAGAAATATGGAATATATTTGTCTAACTATATATGCCATCAGTGTGGCATTTGGCTAATTTACTACTTGAGTGTTTATTACTGTGAAAATAAAATATAATGTTAAGCTTCTATGATTTGTGATTCCTTGATTTATATATAATGACTCTTAAGTACATACACCCTGTTCCAGAGCCTTAATGAAGTGCACTCTGACATAAATGCAAAGCTCCTGTGTATCTGGTGGATTTAAATGCAGAAATGAAGCCCTGCTTTTGCTGGGAATTCCCTCTCTCTTCCAGAAGAGACACCATGTCCCTCAGAAAAGTGAGTGGGAAAAGTAAATGCGAAGAGTGAGATCACGATCCACAAGGTTTTGGGGGTAGGAAAGGAAAGAAAAACAAGCTTAAGGTCACAATGATAGTCTGGCATATTAGCTATCTTTACAAGAAGAGCCAAACATTATGAAAGGTCAAGCTTTACCCACTCTTGGATGTACATATTCCTCTAGGGGTGTTTCTAGAATGAGGGCTCCTAGTCCTGCTGGTCAAAAGACACTGAGCAGCTTTTCCCTCTTTCTCTCCCTAGTGGATTTTTCTTGAAAAAGAAAATGAAAAAAAAACTAAATACAGAGAGAAAACACAGGGAGTTTACAAACTGAAGACAATATCTGGAGCATTTCTGCACAAGGCTGTTACTCTGCTGTATCTTTCAGTTTTGTTGCAGAATCGAGATCTAAGGGACATTTCCTTTCCTGCTTTCCTGCTACATAACCTCTAGGTGAGGTGACGCCACAACCGTCTAGCTGGTATGACTCCAATTAAAGTTTGTAGGGTACAGATGTGCTTGGTGACTTGTGGGAGCTGCACAGTTGTTGACACCACACAGAGATTCTCCTCCCATGCCAGGCGGAGGGGCCGAAAAAGCCTACAGTATAATAGGTCCCTATTTGCTTCTGGGGCGGAGCAGGGAAGGGATGGGACAGGACAGGACACGCCTGAGCAGACAAGGAGTAGAATGGAGGCTGAGGCCAGCGTGTGAAGCTGGGCTGCTTCCTCTGCTGGCCCTGCGGGAGCTGAGGGAACCGCACGACAGCTGCACTCCGGCGGAGGATTGGGTCCTGGCCAATGCTTCCGGCACAGCAGCTGGTGATGAGATTTCCAGCTGGTTCTGCTGCTGGGCAATATCTTGCACCTGCGCTCCCGAGGCAGCAGTGTTTAGCTGCTCAGTTTCCCCCGATATTCAGATCTAAAAAGGAAACAGGCCCCACTTTGAAAGGTTTTTAGTCACTTTGACTTGAAAGCATAGTGGTGCCTTAATAAGTTTACTCAGCATTAAGGACTACTATGTTTGGTGGATCTTACTCCTAGGTAAGCATGCATAGGGTTGCATTAGCAGAAATACATGTTAATTGAACAGTCAAGTGATTTTTGTCAAATTTTCAAGAAGGAGACTCACAAGACCTCTGCCATCAGTAACTAGCCTGATAATTGTACCAAGGTCAGTTTGGTATGTATGTATGTATAAATAAATAAACATATTTGCTCATGTCTTGTGGCTCTCCAACATCTGAGATTTACCACACGTGACTCTTCAAGTCTGGCCATCCTTGGTATATAAAATTTATTGGAAGATCAAATGATGACTCACAATGAGGCTGTTGTACGACATTCATCCTACACACGGGGATCTGCTCCATTCTGTGGCTGCCTGAGGCTCTCAAGGGCAGCAAATGACAGAGGATCAGATCAGGGCAAAGAGCATCTGGCCTAAGTAGAACATTCAAGTCTAGAAAGTAAGGTTGTGTCAGGTAAGTAGAATTTGGTCAAGGTAAGTGCAGTAGGCTAAGGTTGATTTTATTATCTGCTCTGTTTTGAT